GAGAGAGAGAGAGAGTGTGTGTGTGACATGTCATCTGTTGGTCAGCATGCGCGGAGCATGTGACATCTCTTCGAGCAGCATGATTCTGCATAGACAATACATGAGTCAACATCGTTAGGATGGACCGTCTCGTGCCGTCTTTCCACTCCAAAACGCGGTGCGCACTCGCGCAGGGGGGTTGGTTCTTACTTGGGGCCATCAGGAAGAAGAAAGGGAGACAAGGGCCTTCAAGAAGCGCGGTAGAAGATGAGGAGGAGCATGTGAAAGAGCCACAGAGCGTGCAAAACCAGCTGCATGTCTCGCTGAGGCTCGAAGCAGTGCAGCTGCTTGTGGAGCTTGGCGCAGAGCTGAACGCCACCTGGCTTCGAGGGGCCGGATGCGACACTGCTCCCTCAAATCCAGGCTGTAGATTTCAGGTCCGAAACGGTGCCGGTGAGACACCGCTGATGCTCGTCTGCCGAAAGGGACACGCACAGGCAGGTCTTGCAAAAAGCTGCCAGTGCAGCCAGCCTTTTGTGACTTCGAGGCGGCCAAGTTCTTGCTGGAGATGCGCGCTGACGCGGAGGCCCAGGGCATGTGCACTGTGCCACCGCCCAGCGCCGGATGTTCTGGATGCTTTTGCCGGAGGCAGGGACGAAGCTCGGGGACACGCCGCTGCAGATCGCGCAGCGCCTTGGCTTCCAGGAGCCCCAAATTGCTGGGGACCAGGGCCAGGGGCCGCCTCCCTTTCTGGCTCCGCCTTTGTGGTGCGTCAGGAGACGGTGCACGCGCTCTGCTCCGCGGGTGCCCCGCTTCGGCCAGGGACTCCCAGCCGTGCTCGGCCGAGGAGCCCAGCGCGGAGAGGGAGCGGAGCGGAGCGGTTTTGGGCATTTATGGGGCAAATTTTCCACGGTTCTTCGAGAAAAGGAGCCCATCGCCATTGCCTCCGCGACCAAAGTCAGGCGAGAGTCCCAGGCCAGAATCCGTTTTGCTTCGCTTCCCGAACCACGGTCACGAGCATGTGCGAAATGTGCGATTCCGAAGCTGTTGTCAGGCCGGATGCTCCCGGAATCGCAGGAGGCATCGTCCCGTCCGGGTATCCGCCACCAGCGCCGCGCAAAGGTGCCTGAGTTGCACAACTCGGAGTGTGTGTGCAAAGATGAGCGAGGCGAACATTTTTGTAAAAGCTGTTGCAAAGGCGCGCCACCAATACCGAGCGGACCGAGCCAGCCTCGACCACCCCGGCCATGAGTCTCCAAGAAAGCCCTGTGTCCTCTTCACGGTGGGAGCGTCGATTTGTCTAATTGTCGCCGTGGCCGTGGGATGCACGCGATGCAAACGCATCCCTGCATCGCCCGAACAGCTCAAAGAAAGCTGCGTGGTTTTCCTCACAAAAAAGCAGAAATGAGTTGCGCTTCGCACAGCTCCCTGCCGTTGAGTGGTGCTTTTTCCGTGTGCCGAGCCAAAATCATCACCGAGGCAGGGAACGGGCTGGGACCGAGGCAGGGTGCCTGTCTTGTGTGGGCATGCATGTGCTGTGAAGCCGTGGGGACTGCCGGGAGGTGCCGAAGGGCTCGTCGCCTCTTTCCGAAGAGCTGCAAAGCGCAGCGCTTCGGGCATTGCTTCAACCCGGAGATGCACAAAAAGATCGTAGAATATCGTGGAGCGTCAGTTTCCGTGTGAGATCGTGTGAGTGTCTTCTGGATGCACTCGGGTTTCAGCTGGGATCGCGCAGGCTTCGTCAAGCCCGGTTCTCAGCATCTTGGAAAGTTGTGCTTGTCGCACTGGTTCTGCAGATTCGGCATCCTTTCAGCCGGGGTTTCTGGGATCAGTGAGGTGCCTTGGATGGAGGGGCATCTCCGGCTTCACCGAAGCCAGCTCAAAAGCCGAAGACGGCACCACACCCACAGGCGCTTTCTGCAGAGCCGGGGAGCTCCTTTCCGTGCCTTCTTCTCCTCTCTTTCTGCTCTTGATGCTCTTGGCCAGCTCTCACAGCGAGACCACGATCTCATGCAGCACCTCCACGAGCGACACCAAACAAAAGCACAGGCGAAGGCCCTGCAAGTGAGATGTGTGGAGCCACTGCGAAGATCGCAAAGCTCGTGCCAGGCTGGCCGTGCAAAGCTGCGGCCTCAAGTCGCTCGTCAGGGCTGCAGATGTACTTATTATTGCAACCCTGCGACAAAGGTCTCCGCACAGGGGCGACCGTGGCAGCTTGTCACCTAAGGCCTGCAAGAGATTTGGCCGTTCATGCCCCCTTTTTGAAGCGTTCTGTGAATGAGGTGCAGAGCCCCCATGCTTCGTCTCCATCTGTCGCAGAAGCGGAGAACCAACATGCAGCCACAGGCTTGGAAATGCTAGGGCATTGCAATGACCATCATCAAGACTTCTCTCCGTTGTGTTGCCAGCTGCAGCGGTGGCGGCAGCAGTAGATGTCCAAGACGGTCCGCAATCGCAGCATGCGGCTGAGCAAGATCTAATTAACAGAGGATGCCGTCGTGGCTGTGTTGTCATATGCTGTATAACCACGGATGGATCTACACGCCTTGCAGGTGGCCAGAACTGGAGCCAGACGTCCTGCAGAATGAGGTATACCGCCACTAAAGATTTCACTACTCGTCGCCAGGGCTGCTACAAGCAGGTCTTCGAACCTATGCTGTCTCGATTGCGTGTGCAGATTCTGGTTGTTGACAAAAGATCTTGAGACAACCAGTCTTCAATAGTTTTAGATCAGGGCACCGCTGTTGTGCTTGACTTCGCATCCTGTGCAGGTTGCAGCCCGCGAGGCATCGATGCAACCACAGTGCCATGTTTTAGGCCCGTGAAGATGTTGCCTGCAAGGTGGAGCTGCGCGTGCTTCGGCAGGAGCTCAGTGCCAGGAGCCAGGAGGTGCAGAACTCCACCGCTGCACGTTGCATGGCATCGGGTGCGGCGGAAGAGCGCAGGTGCTGCGGCTGGAGGAGGAGATCCACGAAGCCGAAGACCAGCTACGACAAGCGACAGGTGCTCCCAACAGTGAGGGCTCCGAGGGCCACTGGGAGCGCAGCTGGGAGCGCCGATTGCGTGTGATCTTGCGCTTCACAGGGCATGTGGGGACGCTCTCAGCCAAGGCAGGATGCAATTGCTGATTTAGCACTCTGTTGCTTTGAGATGTACTTAGGTTGAAGCCGCATCCGGCAGCACACAGGCGGTCCTTCAGGCATGGGCCAAAAGAGGGCTTCTGTGCATTGGCGCGGGCACATTTTTTGGGAGCCCAGGCCTCCGCCAGGCACCTCGATACACAGGCCGCAGACTGCACTGAGCTCCGCTGCCGCCAAGCCGGCAGATCGGCGAGCCGTAGAGCCGTAGAGCCTTTGCGAACGCAGCCGTTGCTTCTGGAGCATGAACACAGCAATTGCCTATATTTTTAAATTGTTCGCCTGCTTTCATCCTGATTTCGTAGCTGAAGTGAGGAGCATCTTCTAAAACCCACAGCGGAAACTAATAGTCTTGTAGGTCCAGCACGTGTGGTGCATGCCATGGGCTCGGCTGGCTCTGCCGTTCCGCCCGTCCCACCGCTTCCACGGGAGAAGGCACCGCCACTGTTGGTGGATTCTGCGGCTAAGCCTCCGTCTTGTCTTGTCTTCATACTCTACTGTCCGGGGTCGCCGGGTTACTTCCTGGTGCTTTGGTGGTGTGTTTCTGGGTGGGAATTTAGGTTCGGCTTCTGGCCTCGTTTTTGGTTTTCTTGATACGCGTCCGTGGAGGAACGACAATCCGATAATCCGATAGGCCGGCGGGATTCTGGGCCTGGGTTTTTTCTTGCCAAACGTGGTCCACAAGTGATTGGCGAGCATTGACACCAGGTCTCTCAAACACCCTTCGTCCGTAGACCAGAGCTGCACTGACAGCATGCCTTCTAGCACCTGAAGCTTACACCTTGAAAGCTTTTGGACGCCACCTGCCAGAGCGCCGCCCACGCTGGCATCGAGGGGCAGCTGTCAGCGAGTAGCCTCGATTTCCAGGCCCCGCTGTTCTAGATTTAGGGAGATAGGTTTAGGGCCTAGGGTTCAGAGTAGGGAGAAGAAAGGACTCTGAGGGTGCCTCAGTTCCTCCTTCCTCGCCTGGCCTTGTGAGGCTCCTGGGGAGGCCCTGGGCCAGGCCAGCCTTGCCGGAGGCGGGGTCAAGGCCGGAGCCGCGCCTGCCATTTTCCTCACCAGCGGCCGTGTTGAGAGCGTAGCGGCGTAGCATCTATGTTTCTTGTGAATCACAGGGAGGGGGCCACTCTCTAGGACCATCTGAGAGCCACTTTGTCGAGCGAGCATAGTGAGCATGGCCTTCACAGAGACGATCCTGCTTGTGGTTCGACCTTCGTCTTGTGCCTGTTCTTGAATGCTTTTTGGCAGCACGTGGATTCCTTTCCGCCCAGTCGCTCTCGGTGCAGTCTCTGCCGACCACCCGACATACCTCACTCCTGACATGATGCAACCTACACCCTCGAGGGCGCACTCGTGGTGATGCAGTGCTCACCATCGGAGAAAAAGCTCCGAGAAGCTCTTGTAGCAACGGTTCTTCCTCACAAGCCTTTCAGTTCGGTGGCGCCTGGTCATTACCTTCTCCTGAATTCCCTCCGGCTCGTGCGGGGAGCTTCCGTGAACGAGTGAGCAAACCGTAAAGACCAACGCTGGAAGCTGAACGCTGAAGGCAAAATTGTTTGGTTTGAAATCTCCATGATCAACTCACTGGGTTGGGGCTCAGGTTTCGGTTTTCCGCGGAAGGCTGCCGCATGCTGTGGGTTTTGCAGTGTTTTGCAGCCGGCTGCGATTGGCCGTCGGCCATCAGCGTAGCTTTGAAACTCTGGGGTGAAGTCTGCGACAGGGCTTGCAATGGCTCCTCGCCACGGTAGACAAGGAGAAGAAGGAGAAGGCTTGGGGACTCTGCCCTGCAGGGTGTCCCTCCCATAGCTTGATCTCAGACCAGGAATGGCTGGCACAGAAGTTTGAGGAGAAGTGTGTGGAGGTTCAATCGCTCTACCAGGTGCCTGCTGCACAGTTGAGAATTCTCCGGCCCTTCCTTCGTGTATGGGGCTTGAAGGAGCTGCAGCGAGTGCGGATGCAATTGGACCATCAACAAGGTGAGAGCTCCGGCTGTGCGGCCTGATGCACTGATGCAGCATGTACCTCTGCATGGCGGGCCATTTTGAGAGTTTCAGATGCGACACTGGAATCCTCCGTTTCGCGCTGGGACGGCAGACAGATTGTGACAGATTGTGACTTTGATGTCGGGATTCGAAAAGGGGACAAAACGCAAAACTCTGGGCCGTTTGCCTGCGGACGGGTCCTCCAGTCCCTGGAGCTGGCGGAGGAATTGTACGAGCGCTGAGAGACACGGGAACCCAGACACTGCCAGACCCAAGCCATCATATGCATTTTTTTTGGATTTGGGCGGTAGCCGTCCTACTGCAAAGCCGGTGTCGGGGAGGGAGCATCCTTGTGGCTTGTCCTCAGTGCACCTTGCAGGAAGAGCCGTGTCGTCTTCGCTTGCCTGGCACGGTTCGGAGAGGAGTTCGGAGGCGCGAAAGAGATGGGAGCGAAGCCTCTCTGAGCCAGGTCCGCCTTCGCCTCACCGGCCTCGCCTTCGCGCATGTCACCTGCAACAAGCCAGGCGACAAACGACGGGGAGAACGGGGGGGGGGTGGAGCTGCAGAGAGGACCGTTATTTGAGAGAGAGCTCTGGAGAGGAGATCTCTCCCTCTTCATCTGTCGGCTCCAACTCTGCAATTGCCCAGAGGCCCGTCTGGCCAAGCTCGCTCCGAAAACCGAGACTCCTAGAAATTCTTGTGAGGCGGGGACTGAAGCTCAATGTCGAGACGAACCCAAAGAGGTCGCCTTTGACGCAGCCTCCCAAGGCAGGGGTCGTACGAGTCGTACGATGCTCATAGCGAGGCTTCGCACTTAGAGATGAAGGGTTGAGGGGCGAGGCTTCGCACTGCTTCGCATGGCGCAGGTCGTCGTCCAGCAGGCTGTCGACGGCAACGCAGCCGCACTTTCCCGGGCAAAGTCGTCTCCAGCACTGAACGAAGGACGGAAGCGGAGTGAGGTGGAAGCATGTCCGTGAGAGCCCTTTTTTGAGGAGATCCGTCTCGGGAGCCCATGTCCGCGCTCTTGCGCCGGCGCCAGGAGGTGTGGCTCTTGGCTCTCTTGGCCCCGACCCTTCTCACGGAGGGAAGCGTGCGCGGGAGGACTGGACGCCTCTGCCGGAGACCACGGCCACCGGCGAGGAGCCGCTCACCCCTGGCCTGGGAAAGGGCAGGAAGGGCGCACGAGGCGCCGCCACTGCAGAGCGCAGCGTAGCCTTTGAGGCTATGCGTGTATATATAGATACATAATATATATGCATGTCAGGAAGCCTGGGAAGCATTGGGTCCGTCAGCGCCCTCCAGGTGTCAGCGGACAAGGCGAGGGTGTGTCTTTTTTTAATTTTACGACGCCACGGCGGAGCTGCGGACCCAGGGTGTTTAGGGTTTAGGGGAGTTTGAGGTGTATAGGGGGTTCAGGGCATAGGGCTCAGGGGTGTTTAGGGTTTAATTAGCCTTTAGGCTTTAGGGTTTAGGGGGGTTTCGGGTTTAGGGCTGCGGCTGAAGAGTGTTTACGATTTGGTGTGTAGGGGTGTTGAGGGTTTAGTAGGCGTGTCTAGGGAATATGGTGTAGGGTAGGGGTGTTGAGGGTTTAGGGTTTAAGCGTGTGTGGGGTCTGGGGGTGTCTAGGGTGTAGGGTGGTTTAGGTTTTAGGGTTTACGGCTTTGCGGTGTTTAGGGTTGAGAGTGTTCAGAGGCCATCACCTGAGAAAGCAGTCAGGAATCACAGACAGCGCGCACCACCACGGTGTGATGTTCTGTATATCAAACATGTGATATAGGAATATAGCAATACGCAGGTATGATGTGGTTTTGTAATATAGTAGTAAAGTACAAGAGTAGTATGGTAATCGAGTAATATGGTAACAAATTTGTACTGCCGTAGTGTTTCGGGTTTAGGGGTGTTTCGGGGTGCTTAGGGCTGAGGGTTTAGGAGTGTTCAGGGTTTAGGGTTTGGAGGTGTGTAGGGTTCCTGCGGCCCTAACCAAGCTTTTCTGGCAGGTTTTTTCGATGGACGACTGTCCGGCGTCGCCGAAGCGAGTGAGGTTGGCCTCCAAGCCGTGAGAGCTCCTCCCAAAGAGTCGCTCCGCCATGCCAAGCTCGGCATCCGCCTGAGCATGGCATGGGTTTGAATAGCTTTCCAAGTTATGTAGCTGCAGTTGCGCGACCTGCGTAAGCTTGGCTTGAAGCCACGTCCTTGAAGAGGACTTGTTTGAGTTGCCGTGTTGATAACGATTGTTAATGTGCCTTGTGCGGGCGTCGGCTTTGAAGGCCGTACGTCGTACTCATTGATTTTCAACGGTCATTTTCATCCCCAAAGGGGGTAGTTCTCATGTCAAAGCCGGAGCACTGCGTCGCGTGCTGCCGCCATCAATCCGCAGGTTTCACCAGCAAAAAGAGTGGCCTCTGCCGGGCGGCAGGAACCTGTGAATTGGTGTCTGTCGTTGCTTCTTCCCCGTGCTTCAGGTGACCACGTTAAAGAAGCGACTGGCGTCCGCGGAGGCCGGGAGCTGCCGGCTTGCAACGAGAAGTAGCTCTGGTTTTCTTGCGCTGTGGCGGAGGTCGAGCTCGCTGAGAAGGACGAGGAGCTGTCTGGGCTTCAGGAGGCAAGTGACTTGCGGGAGAAAGGACTTAAGGGCAATGGGTTCTGCAGCAGGCCGTTGCCCATGGATCTCAGCAGGTCACGGCCAAGGCAGGTTCGATGCTCCGTTTCGTTGTCCTTTCTTTGAAAGCTTTTCGCGACTGCGAAGCTCCGGAATGGGTTGCGATCTCCGAAGGATTGTGGGCACCGCAGAGAAAGCTCTTGAGCTCTGTTCGGAGAGCTACTGGATTGATGGGCAAGAGCTCCCAACAACTTTGCAGAGGTGTGTGGAGAGAGTTTGAGTCGGAACTTTGCTGAAACCTCGATTCAATCGCGGACTCCGATTCGAGCAGCGCGACGGACTCGATGACACGGCACTGTCGGGTGGGGTTACATGGTTTGAGGGTTGCCAGTTGCAGGCTTCGGGGTTTAACTGGTAGGGGTGATGGGGGAGGGAGGAGAGAAGAACCCATAAAGCTCACAAGCTCTCCCGTCCGTCACGTCAGGCTGCAGAGCTGCAGGCGCTGATGGATCAGCACAAGCTTCAGGGAAGCAAGGCGACCATGGAGTGGCTAAGTGTGGAGCTGTTGCGACGGCTCAAGATGAACGCAGGTGGCGAAGCTGCAGAAAGACAGCGACCTGCTCCACCGGCACATGGCCATCGACCAGTGGCGGCACCAGGTCGAGGCCGCCGTCAAGGTGGTTCTGATATGTCTAGGAAAAGCCGCTGACGCTGACGGCGGCGGAGACAGGCTAAGAGAGAGCACAGCTATCCGCTCCGTTCATCCTCCTCACGTCGGTTGCCACAAACTGCTCCGGTCCCGTTTCCCTTTCACAATGAATGTAACGAGCGCGACGTCGACGATGAATCAAAGCAGTAGCAACGGAACTGACGCCAATAGATGCTTCTTCGAGCGGCAGCCATAACTTCATTGTTGAAGCCGTATCGTCGAGCATGGTTGTTTTTTTCGGCAGCATTGTCTTCATTGCCGTAGTTGCTAGATGGCCAGGCTCTCGTGGAGCAGGAGCAAGAGGATGCGGCCAGCACCCCAAAGAAGCAAAGAAGAGCCATCTCTTGAGCAAGAGGAGCCTTTCAAGAGGTGAAAATCCGAGAGCGACGAGAGCACCAGAGGCAGATCGAGGTCTTCCAAGAGGCCTGCACCTTGCGGCACCTTGCGGATCCTCGGGTCGTCTCGGTCTTGCGGTTCTTTTTCTGCTCTCCTTGCAGCTTCTGGCTTGCCACAGTCGGCCTTTGTCAGCTTCTTGGGCTTCTCGTAACTGGTATGCAAGCTTGTCTGAAGCACTAGCTTATTCGTCTTTTGCTTTTGGACACTACATAGGAACGTATCAGTGAAAAGTCCTGTCCACAAAGATCTCATGTCGCAATGGGTGAGGTGGCTGAATTATGTCTGCCAGCGTCATCCGCTCGCCTTCGGCGTCGCGGTTTCCACCGGTAAAGCCGTAACAGCAGATGTTGTGGCACAGAAGGTGCTGGAAGGTAAGGAGAAGCTCGACCGACAGCGGATCCTGGTTTTCAGTTGCTTTGGCTTCTTCTACTGCGGGCTCGCGCAGCATGCCATCTACTGTGTGGCATACCCTCGGCTGGTCTCCGCCCTTGCTTTGCGCCAACCTGCGCAAGCCATCTTCCAGATCGCGGTGGATCAGGTCCTTCACATTCCCTTCTTCTACTTTCCAGTCTTTTACACTGCCTCCGGCCTCTTGGGGGCACGTTTCAGGTGTTGGATTCTCCGGTCTTGGTGGGTACTCTGTGGACTCTGCTTGCATCTGCTCGCTGCTGAGGCTGCGTGCAGTCCTTGACGGGAGCTGCCAGCTTCTGTCCGAAGGCGATCTTCTTGCAGTGGCACTCCAACGTGTGGGCAGATGTGCAGCGTTGTACCAGCTTTTGGTCCCTTGGGGGCATCCGGCGCAGAAATCTTCAGGATCTTCGTGAGCCTTTGGGTTCGGGAGGTTTAGCAAAAGCTGGCGAGATGTCACCGTCATGCTTGGCTTTGGCTTGTGTGGTTCTTCCTTCGTGGAAAGAGCTTTTCACACTCTCTTGTTCGCGCGACACACGTTTCTGCAGAGGGTGAAGTCGTCAATGTCGACATGTTTTGTGTCGAGTGCTGCCCTAGAGCTGCTTAGTAATGATAGTACATGTCCAAGGGGAAATGCGAATGCGAGCAGGCTTTTCCGGGTGCGAATTGGTAGCAAAAGGGATGAGAAGCATGACACCGGAATGCAGCTGTTTCAGCGCGACAACTGTGCAGCAACGTGGCATGAGCACCGATAGTCATGTCAGCGACATCATCTTCGATTCGAAGTCTTCTAAATGCTTCAGGCAGTGCAGCAGAGATTCACAAGCTGCCAACACCCCTTAAGACAAAGGAGAGCTTAACGTCGGAACATGCTGTAACCATCCTCCCCAGGCTTCCTGCGCACTGCATGACCTTCACCGTGGTTCCTGCGCTGCATTCAGAGCGCGCGCTTGAAATCTTAGAGGAGGTCACTTTAGTCGGTGTGCCGAGCAGTTTGCTGAGCCAGGCTTGATCTGACCTGAGCCTGAGCTGGAGGTGCCCCTTCACTGGCGGATACCTTGGATTGCAGGCGCGGGTCTCGCTTGGCTGACCTTCCTCTCTGCTTTCAGAGGGGGAGAGGTGGAACAGAAAGTGGTGGAGTGAAGATACAAGCCTCCCCTTTTCCAACCGAGGCTCTCTCAGATGTACAGATGCAGCACAATTTGCCGCATGAACCTGTCTGCCTGTCAGAAGCGATTGGCTCATGGCAGCCGGCATTCAAACCCCGAGATGTGCAGCTGCACATAGCTGCACGATGGAATTTGCTTCACCAGCGGCCAATGGTGCCGTGCCCAAGACCTGTCGCGACAGCGCAAAATTGACAAAGAGGGAGGATTCCAAAAGAGAGAGCCATCCTTTTCGGGCCCAGCAAATGCCGTCCAAAGGCCCAGGCCGAAAAGATCCCACAAATTACTGTAGCAATTGAGTTTAGGGCGTAGTTTTGGGTTGGTTTTTGTTGGGATTTAATATTTAGGAGGCCCTGGCCCTGGCCTTCTTAGCCGCCTCCTGGTCACAGGAGATCGTGGCACTGCAGAGCCACATCGCTCGCATGGAGGAGAAGTGCCACTTTCATGCCTTTCGGCCAGCAGATCAGATCCCTTTTTTAAAGCGCTTGGCCCCTTGAGCTGGCGTGAGACTGCGTCCCGCGCCTTCGAGTGTGCCTTGCATGAGGCCGGGGAGGTCCAGCGGCGGAAGGACGTCCTGAAGGCGCTGGTGATGGAGGCGCGAGGCAGTTTGCATCGGCATCGATGCAGCTCAGAGCGCCCGAAGCGCTCTACTCTCTACTTTACCTACAGATGCGAGGGCTGTGGGCTCTCTCCTGTCTGTGCAAGCCACGCCGCATGGACGTCTGATCAACTCGGTTTGGTTTGATCGAAGGAGCGGCTCTGTGTCGCAGCCGCTCGCCTTGGCCACGAGGCGAGGCTCCACGGATCCCTCCTTACTTTATAGGAACCCCCTTAAGGGATCTAGTCCGTGCTTTCTGAGCTCAATGACTCAAACTGAGACGGCGGACGAGCTGAAGCGGGGTCAGATGGAAGAGCAGCGCGCTTTGGAGGACGGGGATCGTCACAAGAAAGGCCACGTGTCGCGTCGGCTTGTGGTTCAGGCTCGCCTCCACGAGGAGATGAGCCGCAGGACTTCCTTGCCTGCGCCGGAACACCCATGGGTCTGAGTTAGTTTTATCGAGTTTTCAAGCCCCGTGTTGGTCGCCGAGGCAAGCCAAGACCTACGAACAGGTGGAGGCCGACTTTGCCGCGTCTTGCGGCGGAGGAATGGGAGTCAATGGGATCTCGTGATTTCTGCAGGCTCACGCGAGACACGACCAAGAGCAGCTTGCTGCTCTGACTGCGTGTGTCAGGCGGGGTATCGCAGGAACATGTCCGGCACTGCGATTCTTGGAGCGGGCAGTGTCCGATATGAGCTCAAGTCTCCGGGACGGTTTCTGCCGATGCGCATGTCTCACTACGATGGTCGCAGAGACAAAGGCAAAAGGGCTCTTCTGAGAGCTCCGGTTCTCCGAGGCCCGGCTGGGCCGGATGAGTTCCGAGCAGCTTCGATGCGGCCGCCTGCGTCTGGCGACCTCAGGGTCTTCGGAGTGGCCTCTGCTCTTTGGCATGGCTGGCACTCCTCTGACTCTTTGCCGGGTGAGTTGGGGCAGGTCCTTCTTGCCAACGTTGCGGAAGCTGGGGTTGCAGCGCCGACAGCGCCACGCTGTGTACCTGCAAAAGTCACTGCATACAGAGTTCTGGGGCGGTTCCGGCCAGGATCAGGGCATGAGAAAGGTTCTTGGAGCGCTTGCCAGCCTTGGTCGGAGCATGCTGCAAAGTGGGGTGAAGCAACTAGCGGTGCTGGACGTCGGTGCTGCAAGCTACGAAGGTCCTGACCGTTGCCACGCAGCGGAGATGGCGGTGCTTCTGGGCTGTTCGGCAAGTTTTCAGATCCACGCCTTCGAGCCGCTCCCCCGCGAGTTGGAGCGCACGCGGCGCAGCGCGGAGCAGCGGCTTCGCGGGGACCTCTCGCTGGGCCGCCGCGCAGCACGCAGGCCGGCGGGCGGGCAGTCGCGTAAGGCACATGGAGAAGCCAGGAAAAGCCAGTGTGTGGTAGCAGTAGAAGTCGCAACTTCTCTCCATGCAAGGTGCATCAGCTGGCAGCAGCGTGCCGTGTCCAACGCCAGCGGCGAAGCTCGCCTACGGGGATCCGCCAACCAGGCGTCGCTCTCCCGACACATCCCGGCCATCACAGGGAGCGCCGACTACGCGTCCCAGGAATCTGAATCTGTGATGACCCAGCGTCTCGATGACTTTGCGCGGGAGGTGGGGCTTGCGCCTAGCCTTCTTCTCAAGATCGACACCGAAGGACATGACTTGGAAGTGCTGCAGGGAGCCAGGTCCCTGCTCGAGGCCGGGGACGTCGCAGCCATCGTCTTTGAGGTCGCGGGGCAGATGAATCCGGATTTCTTTCGACTGCACAAGGAGCAGAAACGCGTCGATCATCGGGTCAGCCTCGCAGAGCCCACGCTGGAGAGCATGGTCCGCTGGCTCGGGGCTCTCGGCTACGTGACTAGGATCAAAGAGAAATTGTGATCTAAGCATAGTTCAGTCTTGGCCAATGGCTCCTGCTGCTGCTCTTTTTGGGTCTGGTGTGGTGCAGGAGAGCTTTCTTCTTGGCAGCCGATCGCTGATCCCTCTGAGCGGCTCGTGGTGGGACAAGAGCTTCGAAGTCTGCTGGAGCCGGCCGGATCTCAGCTGCTGGTACGACGTCCTGGCGGTTCCACGGGCCGGCAGGAGATCTTTGCAAGCTCTTGTCTTCGTTGTTAGTTTTGCTGCTCGTGTGTTTTCCCGAGGAGTGGGTTCTGGAGTGCTTTTGCCCCACGAACCGTTCTGCTGCAAGCCTTCGCAGATATCTGATCCACCATGGCTTCCAGATTTGAGGAGCTGTCTGTCTTCGACTTGGAGGGGCTGGATTTTCCGACGGATCGGAGACGAATAGCGGTGGATGCTTTGCTTCAGTCCTCGGCGGTCAGAGAGAATCGGAATGCCCGAACATCGTCGCTGCTGACGACTCCAGTGTTGCCAAACTCAAAGCTTGTGCAGCACGGCAAAAAGTGCGGTCCCGCTCATTTCAAGCTCGCAAGTCTTTGTACCGGTCAAGTTTGCGGCAGGGAAGCGGCGCGGGCTATGAAAGATCACGGACCCCACATCTCCAAGACTGCCGTAGATGATGCCGTCGACAGCTTCCTCCAGAAGATGCGGCAGCAAGGGGTCGGGGGGCCCATCGGGAGGGGGGGCGGCCCTGCGAGACGTTCTACAGTTTCGAGAAGGGCTCTTTTTACTCGTCAGGAGCTGGCTCCCCCAATCGTCCGCATGAGCTCGGGGCCGAAGAAGAAGGGCCCCTTCGCTCGCTTCTCGGAGCTTCTCCAAACCGACCCGCCGAGGTGCCTCGGCCCACCTCGTCGCGGATCAGGCCGTCACCCTGGAGCTGACACACGCTGCTCGTGCCCCAGAGGGCCTTTGTCCTTGCAGTCCTTGCAGGAGGGCACAGCTGGTATCGCGATCTTTTTTTTGTTTTTGTTTTTTTGCGACGGGCGGGTGCGTCGGGGCCCTTGACTGGGCGGGAGGACGAAGAGGGCTAGCAGGCAAAAGCCGCGCGATCTTGTATGCCTTCGCTTGCTGGCACGAAAAGTTTGCACAAGTAAGCTTGAGACTCTACGACTCGAGGGTCTCAAGCCTTCTGGATTCGGGCTTTTGCATGGCTTTGTTGTCCGTTGTGCTTTTTTTTTTTATGAATGCCTGGCATGCTTGACTTTCGGTTTGCTTGCATTTTATCTGCGTTGCGTTTGAGTTCTCGAGATGATCGAGGGTGAACGTGTTTGCCTGAGCCTCTGCTCTTGAGAGCATCTCCCTGTAAGTGTTCCCAACCACAGCGAGTACCGAGTGCGTCTGCTGCGATGTCATCTGCCCCAGTCCTCAGAATCGACGATCAACCGACTTGAAAGCAAGTGCACAAGTCTTTGGATTCCGTGCTACTTCTTGACTCGTGGCCGCCGGTTGTGGGGACAAGACATACAATGGTGTGCTGGCACACAGCTGCAGGGACAGCTCTGCGTCCGGGGTAAGTCAGGGCTTGTCCCTATGGCTGCCTGGGCCCCAGTGAGTTCAGGCCAGTCGGTTACTTCCATTGTGTCCAGCTGTGAAGGATTTCCTCCGACAACATGGCTTCATGAAGAAGCATCACGAAGGCCAAGGAGCTCTCCCATTCCGAAGAGCTCCGTGAGTAGTTGGACGAGTGCTGCGAGCCAGGCCAACATCTGCCGAAGCATGCCGCCCACTCCGCAGCGGATGCGGCGCACGTCCACCCTTCCCACGCTGCCCACCCTTCCCACCCACTCCCAGCACAGACGACGCACCCAGCACATGCAGGCCCTCCAGCTCTGCACTCGCACCCACCACACTTGGCACACCCAGCGCATGCAGCACATCCAGCTCTGCACCCGGCACAGCTAGCAAAGGCTCACCAGGCACCCCCAAAATCGCACCCTGGCCACGGAGCACAGCAGCATCCTGCTGCTCATCACAGCCCCCAAGTGCCAAAGAGCACTCTTGGAGATGCAAAGACACCATTGCATGCGGCAGCAGAAGCTCATCTGACGCCGCACAAGATGGTCGCGGTCTCGACTGGCAAGAGCTGCTAACGGCGTGACATGCCGTGTTGTAATCTCAGGTTCATCACCAGGAGGGTGTGACGATGGCGGTGTGATGAATCGCCGAATTGTCAGAAACAGACCTCTTTGCATGGTTTGTCGGACCAGCCGCAGCCGATGTGAACAAGTTGGGTTAGTGCATTGTAATCATTGACCGCAGCTTTCTCTCTCGAGCGAGCCTTTTCCACTGAATCCTGACCCATGCAGAAATAGAGCAACAGACAGATCACCGCTTCAAGCCCTCGCAGTACCTGGCGGAGGCCCTGACGCATTACTCCGCACAGTCAAGGGCCGTGCGCTCGAACGGACACTTGGCTCTGGTGGGCGAGATTGTGATGGAACATTACGTCTCGGACAAGGTCGTAAAAGAGGCGATGTTCTTCGGATCCCATCTCGTGGTCGGCCACAAAGAGGGCCAGCCGCTTTCGAAGACCTTTGCCACACCGCAAGGATTGCCGCCTCCCCGAGCGCCCCCGCCAACCGAAGAGAATTGCGGAGATGTCGACAACGTGATTGCCCTGGATCGGCGAATCTGGGTCTGCTGCAACCACGTCAGCTACGCAGCTAGATCCATCTTGACCGAGCTCCACGAATCCATGAACAAAGACTCCAGGGAGCTGGAGGAGGCCATCAATCGCTTCGCCAAGGAGTTCAAGAAGCTGTCCCAGCCCAAGGATCAGAAGGAGCGAAACGTCAAGTGGCAGCAGCTCTTCAAGTCAGGAGCGCCGAAGGCTTTGGGTGACGTCTTCTTGGCCGTGATCGGTTCCATTGCCATGGATTCGGATTACTTCGAGGCCGAGCAGTTGATGCTGCAGCACTACTGTACCAAGACAGTGAGCTCATCTTCGACATCATGAAAGACCGAGAGGTTCCTGCTGGTGTTCCGAATCACACCTTGATGGTTTCCAGTAGCTGCGGGAAGACTTTCCGCACGTACATTGCGAGAAGGTCCTTGAGGCGGAAACGGCACAGCAGCATTCCTTGTCGAAAGAGCTGGCAGGTGGTCTTGACTGGGATGCCTGGTTTCACGTGAACGACCTGTGCATGGTGGAGGTCGAAGAGGGATCCAGCTCTCGTGAGGTGATCGGTTCCACCCCTCGAAGCTTGTTGATCCGTCTCGGCCTTGAAAAAGAAGCGGCAGCTCTGAAGGGAGCGAGATGGACCAAAAGTCGAGCAGCCAAGAGGATGCCCAACAATCCGACATGGACAAAAACAAACCTACTGAGCATGATGGGGCCATCTACTGCAAGCATTGCCAGATGTGGTTGAATGGCCCAGCACAGTGGGCAGATCACGAGATTGGAAAAAAGCATCGAAAAGCTGTGCGCAGACAGCAGGTAGAAAGATATTCCGGCAAGTTCGCGGATTTTCCAGGTTCGGAGAAGATCCCCCCACCGCCAGAAGGCTTTGGAAAGAGGACCTACGAAAAGGGTATCGACGAAGACCGGCCGGACGACACGCAGGCAGACCGGGACAGCATTTCACAGGTGGAGGGATCTGCCCGGTCCGAGCAGCTGGACTTCGACCCAGTTCTGCGCTGCAAAATGCATGGCAGCAGGATTTACGACGCACACATGCAATGTGCCGGATGGCATTCTCCGGAACCACCCCCGCTTTGGCATTGGGCCAGGGGGGGTTCGCCTGCAACTGCGTTGATGACCACACCGCCTAACATTTCGACCTCACGGGAAGCACACCTCCAGAGAGTTCCTTGATGCTTCAGCTTGAAAAGATGTGTCCAAGATGTGTACCGTGGATATGGGCGAGGTCGCCATGGTTCCGGTGGCCATGTCCTCCAAGCTGAAAACCGCTTCGTAGTATGTGTGTACTGACTAGCCGCGACTAGCCCGGAGTGTACTTCCACTGTCGTGGACCATATCCTTCCCCTTCCAGGCTCGAGTATTCTTAAGCCCACCTACGACTTAGAGCATGCAGATGAGGCCCTACTTTTAGCGGTGACCATGCCAGAAGTAGCTACAGTCGTTCCTGCGCAGAAACCCTCAACGAAGACGAAGACCGTTCGACACCGAAAGAAAAATATATTGCTATCTATCCATCTATCTGTCTAATTATGTATCTATCTATCTATCTATCTATCTCTCCCTCTCTATATATATATATATATAAACAAGAACAGAGAAAAGACACAGATGAACACAAACGAAAAGGCACAAGACAGGAGACCGGTCCTGGATGCAAACAGCCGCCCTGATGCGCTGCCGACCTTTGCAGTCGTAGTGGATCAAACCCGTGCCAAAACCCTCCTGGTGCTGCCCCCGCCAATGGAGGCTCCTCCCAGCTGTTCCCGTCAGTTTTTGGATGGCAGATCTCAGATCTCAGAGAGAGAAACATCGCCAGGCTGCTCAGTGTGCGGAGGGACTCGCAGGCCAGATCCGGTCCCTCATCGAGGCGGGCGCAAGCGCCCGCGGACGCAGCTCGCCTCCTCGGCTCGTCTTTTCGGCACTTTCTGAGATCCCTCGGAGGCGGAGCTTGCAGAGAGGGTTGCTCAGCTAGATCGTCGCGAACGCGCTCTTGCGGCACCTCGGCACCGATGGCCTGCAGTCATAGCCCTGGTTTGGCCTAGGGACTATAGGGAAGGACCTCGTGTTGTCAAGTGGATGCTGGGTGTTAAGTCGTATGGCGTATCTCAGCATTACAAGAGGTCCAGCCCGCTAAGTTTGTGCATGTCAATCATAGCTGCGTCATGTCCTAGCACAGCCGGAGACGCAACACAGCAGATTTGCTTGTGGATCTGTTCTGCGTTCGAGTTTGCTACAGGAGCGAGAGGAACTGTTGAAGCAGCGTGAGCAGGCAGTGGTTTTAGCCTCAGATGGACCAGCATGTGCTGCAGCGATGGCCGACATCTTCATTCAAGGCAGCTGCCGAAGCACCGACGCCGGCGAGATCGCTGTTTCAGGCGCTACGTCATTCCACGGTTCCTTCTACGGCCTGATCTTCATACCACAACCAACCAGAACCCCCCCCTTGCCTGTACAACGGCTAGAGCCTAGAGTAACAGGGCGTGACAAGACTTCCAAACTTTAACGTGAACCGCTCAGGAGTTCGACATCATCACAACTGACATGTATTGTATGAGGGGTAAGTTTGAGTACCGAAAGCCAAATCTCCACACCAATCAGTGTGTGCTCTCTGCACGACCGGCCACTGCCTAAATCCATAAATCGACCCCCTGCCGACGATAGATCTTTCACGATTGCAAAAACGCGCCGCTGCGCCGTCGTGCTTATCTGGCGGGTCAGCCTCTGGTCCCTCCTGATGTCTTCGCGCCCAAAAGTCATGTGTGCCGAGCCAGCTCATGTGAATCTCGAGCTGCAGTGCCGCGACCAGTGGTGAGGGGTGGAGGAGGGCGGTCAGGATGACGTCAGGGATTCCGATCTCAGAGAAGCTTGGGGGTTCATGCGCAAGATTCTTATTGAGTGGTTCTTGGCATAGAGGCTTTACGGTGCTGCAAGGATACACGCTTTCCTGAAGTGGTGCTTGTTGTAATGAACGATGGGGGCAGACATGCATAGTATTGACACAGCATCCCCCTCTTTCTGGTACTGGATCCACCTTCCGTTCGTTGCTGCTGCGCGGTGCTCTCTCACTCTCACGGATCCGTGTCTCTCTCCCGAAGTCTTCGAGCATGAGATCCATGCTGGGGTTCACGACTCCTGTTAATCTCGGGCTGCAGCCTAAGAGCTTTTCTGGTACCTCCCACACCCCAGACGACAGACTGGTGGCCCTTGGCCGTGAGCTGTGGTGATGATTGATGATGAGGCTGATGGAGAATGAGGAGGAGGATGGTTGATGACATCAGGATGCTGCCTCTAAACAACAAGTTTAAGAGGCCTCAAATGCATTACCGCGAACTTTTGGAGACCGTTTCATGCCGCTAAACGAATTGAGCCGAGTCCCGACCCCAAGTGCTTCTAAGTACGCAGGCAGGTGTTGGCCTCGGAACCGAATCTAATCTCGAAAAGTCGAAAGCCAACGTGTCGAAAAGTTTTAGACTTCAGCTTGTCGCGTTCTCGAGATTTTGCAAGCTTTTCGGTCCTTTGTCGGATTTGTCTGCTTTTCGACTTTTGGTATTTTCTCTCTCTGTACGTTTCGAACTTTCGTTACTGCCGGGCCTCCTGAAACATTGATTGTGCTATGCACCAAGTTGCGGAGCGATCCGGTGTTTAGCCAGTCGGTGCAGACATCACGTAAGAGTAAGAGTGTACTTCTTACGAGGCGCACTGCCCTTTCTGAGCTTCCGGCTTCGTTGATGTTATTTCGGCATGCATCGGTATGCATGGCCCTTCTGAAATTCCAGCAGCAACTCCCCGCAGGTCCAAGCCGAAGCTCCGCGGGCAGGCGGTCGCGTCTAGGACCCAGCGCTCTGCAGTTGTCAGGGGAGGAGTATACGAGCGCCTGGGAGCGCCTGCGAGATCTGATGTTCTCTTTGGTTTGTGCTCAGGTGATCCCAGAAGCGTGGAAGGCCGGTGGGGCTGCTCCGGGGGATGCTTGCCGGTAAAGTTGCGCTTGAGTGAGTTGCCAGGACCGTGTCGAGCAGAAGGCATATACTGAACAATCCGTGCGGTGGTAAAAGGCTGCGGGCCGTAGCAACGAATCATGTTGTGTCGTTTGCAGGCCACACCCTCGACAGCGTCCAAACCATTGGGAGAAGGCCGACTCTGCCTCTTCAAACTCTTTGTTGCTGAGTCACTTAATTCCTTTTGTTTTTGTTTCCCCCTGTTTCAGGCATGCGACAGCCCCGACACTCGGCGTCCGCCCAGCTCAGCAATCCTCAGGTCGAGACCGCTTTGAGCTGGCATCATTCTGACTGCGGGCCGAGTCTCCGAGGCCCTGTGTCCGCCCAAGTGAGAGTGTGGCAGAGCCCGAGAAGAGCGCCTCAAAGGAGCTGGCGCCCCGGGGGGGCTGGGCCTTTTTTTTGCAGAGCGACTGTACAGTAGAGCTTTCCCTTGCCCTGTTCTGGGTGCTTCTGAAGGCCGGCGGAAATCTCAGCGGTCTCCGCGGGCACCGCGAACGAGCTCAAGGACGGCGCCAGGAACAGCGGAGGAGGCCTCGCAGCGAGCGAGTTCTGCCAGGACCTCTTTGAGCAGAAGGCTCCCGCCGGAAAACTCCTGCCACAGATTTGGAGTCGGCAATACTTGCCAATACTTGCCAATGTGTGCGAGGCCCAGCAGGCTCAGACGCCCGAGCAGAAGCGCTCCTGGAAAGCGGCCGATGCCCCGGAAAAACTGCGCGACACAGAGTCAGTTCAGCGCGCGACCCGGCGCAGGTCCAGAACAGGCTTGACCTCCCCAACGCCGAGGGCACTGGCCTCTTCCGTGCACACGAGGTGCCAGCAATCTTCAGAATCTTCAGTGTGAAGGCCCCTACTTGTAGCTCCCGATCTCGTACCTCTACTCACACTTGGGCAGGGACGTGATATCGTAAGACCCTTCGCCGATTCCTGCGTCCCCTTCGGGAGGCGCCCTTCCGACGCAGCGTGAAGACGGTGGGCCTTGGACAGCCACGGGAGCGGCGAAGCCTGCAGGAGCTGCTCAAGGCCCGCGCGCGTCCACGCAGGTTTCGGTGTGGGGTCGCTCTTTTTTTCTTGGTGCTTTGTGAGCCCCGATGCCGCACCATTTTTCAAGTCATCTTCGAAATTCGGACAGTATGCTTGTAAGAGTCCGCTTCTGGCAAGCGGAGAAAGTATGCTTCGTTTCATTTTCTTCCATGCTATTGTAGTGTGCTTTGGGAGTCCCACTGCATGCCATGAAGCCTGGCACACTGGGCGCTATCGTTGCTGCCGTTGCAGCTGCTTTGTATGGAGGCTGGGCGGGTCATCACAAGTTGAAGGCAGCGAGGTTTCACTGAAACCGCGACTTCCTATTGTGGCAGTATTTCGATCCGCTGCTTTTGCGAGGTGTGCTGTTTCCACAAATACCGAGCCCCGCCGATCCCGATGTGTCTAAGCTCAGCAAGCGCTTCACGGACGTGATCGGCGAGTCTTTGAACCTGCGCATCAGCTGCAAGGGACAGATGGTGCGAGATCGTCATCCGGCCGAATTTGGGGCTCTTCGTTGCAGATCCCGGCTTGCCATTTGTGCCCTAGAAGACGCGCAAAATACATGCGGTCTCTGGTTCCCTCAAAGCCCCCCAAACAGCATCCCGAGGCTTCCTCCGATCATGCAACTTCGCTAGCTTATGGCTATGGCTAGCCTAAATTGTCTGAGAACGGGCTACACAGCTACACCCGACAAGACATGCTGAGCGAAGGATGCGGACAAGATGTGTAGGCACCATGCACTACCTGAAACCCGTTGCAGTTTGCTCCCTGTCAGGACTGACGTCATGTGTAGGGTTGGGGCACCGCATGTCTAGTGTTGGTGAGCAAACGGCAAAGTGGGAATCATCAAACTCCTAGTATGTACTAGCTTTTCGCTGATGCTGGGACTCGCGTGTGCCAGAGGTGACACCTTTTTCTGGTCACTTTTCACAGACAAGTTTGGCAGCCACTCTTTCCTGCTTAGCACTGTTTTGATCAGTGTGGTTTGGGGCTGTGAGATGCGGATCCCTGACTACCATGACCAAGGCAACCCGAACACCCCTTACATGTGGAATGCGCTGCCAGCTTTCGGCTTTCTCCTGCCAAGTCCAATGTGGAACCTGAGGCAAGGAACGTGCATAGCATCATAGCATAGTGGACATGCCAGCACCCATGGACACAGAGGGAAGGACAAGGAAGTATAAATCAGGTGATTTACTTGCCCACCCCCAAGCGTCGAAAACCCAGCATTTCCGGAGTCCATGGAAGGTGCTCATGCACACTGCTGTAGTCAGGCGCGACGACGCCGTCGTCCTCATTGCCCGGCGGCCGCCTGACGTCGAGTACTTCTCCTTCACTACCTTTGCGCTCTGGATTCCACGGCGTGGCCTGCAGTTCAGCAGCCTGGGTGATTCCGACTCTTGCCTGCGCTGGATTTGGGCGCATGATAGCAGCATGTTGCAACATCGCCACAGCACTCGCCATGTCAGTGTTGGGTAGAGGTCAACAACTTGAACATTCGGGAGACTCCCGAGGGCTTGTTTGCCCACGTGGTGACAGCGAATCAGAGAACCTTCGACCTTGTCCAAGCGGCTCTTGTCGGTAGTGGATTGCCCAGCAGCGCGATCAACCTTGCCGTGGTACCTTCTGACATTGGTGGAGCCGCTTCTGAAAGAGCTAGCAGCTGGCACAGCCAGCACCTTTAAGCTACTCTCGGGCCGAGTCCGGTCAGTGAAAAGCAGTGAAGACTGATCTGAGGATTGTTCGACGACTGGACGCATTTCGAGACCGTGCTGAGACTCTTTCGCTTCGCCAACCAGAGTGACGGAGATGCTTACCTCCATTCCCACCACCCGGTGTACTATCTCAAGGCACTGCATGGCGAGGTGGCCCCTCTGCCCACACCCGTCTACAAAGGCCGCCATCACCCCAGGAGCGTCCGAGAGGGCGGGCTTCAGGCCGAATTCGATGTCTACAACCAGACCCTGGGCTTCTTCCAGCGTGAGAAATTCCGTTGTGAGCTAAGTCTTGCAAGCGGATCTATGCAAGGGACCTGTCATGTGGAGTTTTTCCCGGTGCCAAGGAAGATGCTTGCGCAGGTGGGCCAGGCCATGTCACGAAAGCTGGCAGCGGTGCGACCTACCCGGTTTGAGCCGCTGATGATCCAAGGCCTGCAGTGTCTGAACCTTTCCTCAAGACAGCCGGTTGCAAACTTTCTGTTCGTAAATGCGCTGCTGTCAGCATTGGCCGAACAATGAAATTGACACTGCATGGTTGCCGTAATCTGTCGTTGTTTGGTCCTGTCGGTGGCTCACCGCAGTCCTTCGTGCCTTTGTGTTTTGGTGACAAAAGCCGAGGCAAGAGGGCACCGAGTGTCTTGGGGATTGCCCTGATGCGGCATATTTTGGGCCCAACATCCTCGAGGACAGCGACGTAATCGATATGCTGGAGTTGTCGGGGAATGAACTGCACCTGGTAAGCGTGGTGAACCATCGCCTTCTGAATGCCTCGATCTATGGGAGTGTGGCCGTGCTGAAGAGCGCACGCCCAAGCCTGAGCAAGACTCACATGAGCATCCGTGCCACGAGCCTGGGAGTGACGAGCTTTGACTTTCCAAAGGATCCGTTCGTTACGTGGGCATTTACCAGGACTTCTGCCATCTGTGAGCAGCTGGGAGAAGCTGTGGCTGGTTGCTCAGTGGTTGCAGATGACCACGTGGAGCGTGCTGGTTACCTTACCTACTGCGAGAGAGTGTATCTGAATCCGATCACGGGTACAGGCCCAGAATCTAGACCCTGGTTCAGGCATAAAGTTGTGTTCTTCCTGCACTCCTTATGTACCGTCCTTTGATGGTTTTTATCCCCTTCCCTCTTGCTGGCCCCCAGGACTGGCAGGACCTGATCTCAGCAGTGATCTACCGCCTGAAGCTCGATGAGTTGCCGAAAAGTGAGCCTCCGCCTTCCTCGGACTTGCCCAGCAGTCTGCCGCCGGCAGTTCCCGTCACCGTCTTCCACGGAACGGCGGCGGGTCTCCGTTTCTTGCACGTCGTGAAGACAGGCGGAGAGTCGCTGGAACTTCACCTGGCCAAGCAGCCGGCGCCTTCTTTGAACTACGGCGCCTGCCGGGCCGCCGCAGCAAAAGCCCAGCTCTGGCCCGAGACGACGGCCCGGACCGGGCCTCTCTGCCTGGCTTTGTCCCGGGCGGTGACGCTGGCGCTCTGCGCCGCCAACTGTGAGTGCTGTGCACGGGATGTGCTGGAGCAGACGCCGAAGTCACAGGCTCCGCTACTGAAGGGTACCCTCCTCCGTTCGCCGAGATCACACGTCTTATCTCTCTTCTCCCACTGTCACATGGCGCACCACAACACCTGGAAGAGGATCTGGGACGACCTGCCTCAGTACGCAGCCGAGGGGCTTTTGCGTGTTACGGAGGCTGCTTGCGACAGCCACTGCACCCACTTCAAGCCCGACCCGATCGAAGACCTCCGCAGCCAGCTCGAACATGTAAAAAACAGCAGTAAAGAAGCACTCGGAGTGCAAGTCATTCCCTTTCTGCGGAACATGCAGACGCATGCCTTGACCTGCCGGACGTCACAGGGTAGCCTAGGGCAGCACTTTCGGGACCTGCACTCCGAGGAGGCTCTGCCGTCGATCGAGGGCGCCCTGGAAACGCTCCGGCGCTTTGACTGGATTGGGCTGACGGATCTCTACGAGCAGAGCATCTGCCTTCTACATTTTCAGTCCAATGGCAGCTTGCCACGCTCCTGCGACTGCTCCGAGGGCCCGGTAGCGCCCCGCCTGGCGCTGCCCAAGTTCACCCACGGCCAGAAGGCACTTTCCGCGGAGGAACTGCCCCCAGACCTGCTGGCCCGCATCGATGCAGAGACAGAGCGGGATCAGAAGCTCTTTGCCGAAGCTCTGAGGCTGCTCCTTGGCCGCCTTCGGAGGGTCGAGGAGCTCACCGGAGCTTCCTTGCTCCGCTGCGTTCCCTGGCGCCAGCTCTTCCGAAGGACGCGATACATCCCAGACCTTTGGGCTTCCGACTCGCACCTCGCAGGCTTCAAGCTGAATCACCGCGAATAGAAAAGAGAACAGAACCTCATCTGTCGAAGTCCAAGGTGCCCTCGCCCCGGTGTAGCCTCCAAGAACAGGTCTGCAAGGCCCATCGAGTTCCCCAGGGCATTCATCATTCCGCAGACCGCTTAGCTCAGGGGTTCAACTTGAGATCACTGTCAGACTTTCAGACCAATGATCGTCTGCCTTGGCCTAGCGGTGCTGCTTTCGACCGTCGGCCAGGCAGTATGGTGGGAAAGCAAGCCCGAGGTCTTGAGCCATCTCGAACCCTTAGACCAAGTGCTCTCGAGATGGGACTTGTCTTCTGAGTTCGTGTGGGATCAGCTGAACCGTTGCATCAGTTTCCTGTCATGGAGCTCGTTTGCACATGGAATGCTGGTCCTGACACTCTTGCTGGTGACGATACCCTTCTCATCTGCTCTGGGATGGGTGCTGCGCATTATTGGGCTGACGCTGCTGGACGGAGCCTATGCGGTGAGTGGCCTGCAGCTGGCGAAAGTAAAATTCGCCCACGCAATCGAGGGACGGGCGAAGGACACTTGGGAAGGCTGGCTCGTGGTCCACGGTGGTCTGGACTACATGCGGAGTTTCGTCTCTGGAGAAGCTGGTCCCGCTTTCGTGGCCTTGGTGCATTGGCTGCTCCGTCATGCATTGCATCAATATATATTAGTAGATACATCTCATCCACGCATGCGGTGCCACTTGCTCTTCGTCTGCATCCTGAACTCCGGCCGAGGTTCTTGGATGACAAGGCAGCGGTGTGCAACGGCCTGTGTTTCTGGGTGAAATGATGTTTTTGTGAAAGCAGGATTCTGTAGGGCTTCGAGCTTCCTAAGTACATGTGGCAGTCGGTCAACGTTCCTACTGCTGTCGTGAGGCATCGGCCGCCACCTCGTGCATGAACTTGCGCGAGGGGCAGCGGTGAAGCTTTGTGGCATCCAACTTTTCTAGAGACAGCAGTGGTGTCGTATCCTGGTCGATGCTATGCTCTGGGGTGGAGTCATTGCCCGACTGTCAGCCGCGTAGAGCAGCAGCCTGCGTGAGATTTCCGCATGCTCCTGTCGCCGGAGCGCAGCATCGCGGCTTTACAGTACGTTCGGGCTTTCGGTTCGACTTTGCTTCTCGGGGCTTCTTTCGTCACTCTCAACCCCAAATCCGAACTGTCTGTCGCCAAGCCTGGCAAGCTCTAAGCCCTGAGCTGCAAGCCACCCGAAGGAGCGTGGCCTTCCAGTTCCAAGTGGACCACGAAGCAGCAGGCCCTCACAGCGGTCAACGAAGGCTTCCGGCATGATGAAGGATGAGATGCAGCACAGCGCCCCGCCGCACGGTCCGTCTTCTCCGGCCTCCGAGAGGGAGAAGAGCAGAACAAAAAAGAACTGCACGCGACGCTTAGAGCTGCCCCATGCTGTAGGTCCCTCCTTTCTGTCTGGGCTGTCATTGCCCCACGCCCGCAGCCAAGTGGCTCATCGGTCGCTGCCATGCCCTGACACGCTTCCTCCCGTCCCCACATTGGGGGAAGGGAGAGGGTCTTCGAGGTCGAGGCACCGCTTCCTTGAAAGGGTGACGAGTGGCAGTTGTGGCTGTCCTGCGAGGGCACCCGAGGCATCAACGAGGTGCAGGGACCTCGGCCTTCTGCTCTAATCCTCGAATCTCGCATGATCTCGCATGAAAGAGAGGCTCAATGCAGCAGACTCCATGGCGCCAGCCCGGAGTCCTCCGGAGGATTCATCCTGAGCCGATTTTTTCGTGACTACGAGAGTCAGCCACCGCAGGAGCTACTCAGCAGCTGCTCTCCTTCTCCTACTTGCGACGCAAGGCCTGCCATGTTAGTAAGGGGAAGAGGATCTCATATACATGGAGCCTCCAGGTGCCCAGGCTGCCAAGGTCGCCCTGCAATCCAAGCTTAGGCCAGTCGAAAGAATCCGGAGCCTGGAGGCTTCGCACCTAGAGCATCTTTCTTGGCTCTGAGGTATGCCATGGAGACGGACAGCGCTCAGATGTCTGCCAGCGCCGCTTGGCACGCGAGCTCGCGGCCTTGGCATTCAGTAAGCACGGTGCTGGATGAGGCTCTCTTTGCAAACCTGTCCTCCCTGGCCTTGTCAAGTTCCTTGAGCATCGGCCAGAATGCCACTCAGGACAGACAGCACATCTCTTAACCAGTGCAGCGTAGCCGCGTAGCCTGTGGCTCCAGGCCAGCGACTCTCTCAACAAGATGGAGTCCTTGCTCCTGAGTCTAGGGCGTCAGCCGACAACAGACCGCAACATGGTGGAGGCTGCACATGACATCCCATGACAAAGCCGCGCTGTTGGACTTGGCCCGAGCTTTGCTTGCGCAGACTGCAACCATGATCGGCAGAATTCTCGAAGACAGCATGAAGGCAAAGCTTCTTCGCAATGGATCTCCTTTTTTTAAACTGCCCGCCTCTCGCAAGTCGCCAGGCAACCATCCGAACGCAGCTGGCGCTGCAGCAGAAGAGCCTGGAAACTGCCGTGGGGACAATCAATGCGTGCGCTTCACACCTCAAGTACGATGAAGCCAAAGTGCTTCGAGCTCCTCGGCTGGAGACTTTCCGACTCGCATCCACCTCGTTCCGGGCCCGTCATTCGCCTCTCTGCGCAGGAGCAGCTTCCTGCTCTTGCCGCGGCACACCAGCAGTGCCGAAAGGAGGAGGGCATCAGGGCCCAGTTCGTCGAGGAATGCGAGCAATCGCTTGCAGAGCACAAGACATCCCACGCCACGGCCACTCGTCCTAAAGGTCCTAAACTCCAACTCCGGAATGACTCCGCTTGGCGCTGTTGGCAAGGGTTGTCCGGGAGATGAGGCTCGCGTTGACTGCGATGCAGTCGTTGATTATCCAACTGGAGGTCGGGGAGCCTGGTCAGGACGATAGGAGTCCAGCAGGGTGAATCTGAGTTTTGCATAGAGAGCCTGCCTACCGCCACCCACATTGAAGCGGCTTTCAACTGAGTCGTATCGCCAACGAAAGTCACGGAGCCGCCCACCCCCCCCACTGGGAGAAGCTGCTCCTTAAAACTTCTTACTCGTAGGACGGTAAGAGCTTTTGGCATCTGCTCTTTCGCAAGGGTAAAGCAGAGCCCCCTCCTGTTGCTGCAAGCGACGCCTGCCCGTATGCCCGCTCCTGTTCCGCCCCCTCCCCCCCCCCNNCCCCCCCCCCCCCCCCCCCCGTTTCCCCTGTCGCATTGAACGAAAAGTGATGAAAACTTCGAGCCTGAGCAGAACCATTCTGATTTCCATTTGGTAGTGAGTGGAGTCAATGTTTGGCATGTCATGTGCAGGCTGTGTAGGTGGCTGTTCCCTGAGGTCGTGGGCTTTGCAACAACCGGGTAGGCAGCGTTGCCGACCACTACCGCAACCTCCACACTTTCTGGGACCGAGATTGTGTGAGTGCAGAAGCGACATTCCTCGAGAGTCCACGCTAGAGGGTCCTAGAGAGCCTTTGCTTCAGGATGAATACCTCAAGTGGTATGAGTCTTTGGCAGCACACGGACCCCTGCATGCTCTTGTTGCCCGTGTGCCACAGCTTGTGCTTTGATTCGAACTAAGGATGGTAATATGACCATATGCAATGCCCTTCAGGTAAGTTTTGCGTTGCTTTGATTCGAGTTGTTATCTCGGTGCCTTATTCTGGTCATGGTGCAGGCCAAGGTGGAGAGCACCACCGCCAACTGTTCCAATCTATCCGTGGCTCATGATGCTCAGCGCCGGAAATGCAACGCCCAGCAAGCCCTTTGTTTGCAAAGCGGACCCCCCTTGCGTAAATATCTCAGCTCGAGTGAGAAGGCCCTTTGCACATGACGTCCAAGCCAGAAACTTGGCGAAGCTTGACTTTCAGGCGCAGCTGGATACCACTTCTTGTGGTTTTGTGACCAACGCAGAGAACGGTTGCCGCCTTGGTTCCATGGGCCTTTCAGAGCGGCAGATCAGGCTCACTCAATGCAAAGAACGTTTAGGCTGTGCAGCCTACTCGCGGTGTTACGACCAGACGCTGGCAAGCTTCATCACCCTGAACTCGACCGTCGCTGAGGAGGATGCGGCTGTGAGGGCTGCGAGATGCTGCGAGGAACTCCAGGGGTCCAGGCTTGAGCCCCGGCAGGAGCGAACTCTGCGGCAGGAATGGCGCGCCGTCCTACGCATCGAGTGCCCGTGGCAGGAAATAACCTGCATACCCTGTGTGCCTGAAGATGCGCCGACGGGCCGAAAACAGGTGTCTCCTCAAAGCGCTCTTGAGTGACAACAAGAACGCGGCCATCGACCGCTGCATAGGCCGTGCGAAAGATGTCTCCACGTTGGAGCAAAGTGTGTGTGTCGGCCTTCAGCGGCGGGTTTTCAGGGAAAATGCCCTGAGCTCCGAGACAGGGCGTGTGCACAGCCTCGATGAGATCAGTGTCGATTACTCGCCAGTTCCCAGGCCACTTAACGCTGCTCAGATTGCATTCTGTCGAGGACTTGTGTGGATGGCAGTCGCTGCATCCTGAATGTCTTAAGGAAACGTATCCACACGATACGTTGTGCAAGAATCTGACTGAGTACGTCCCTGTCACTGAAGCTTATGCCAAGCGATGGTACGAGGCCAGGAGCTCGGGGCTGTGAAGGAGCTGCAGTGACAGTTTATACTCTGACTCACCAAGGGCCTGCCATCTTCCGCTCAGGCGACTTGTGACTCTGACGGCACACTTTGACGGTCAAACGACAAGTCCGGACAGGAAGAGTCACGCATCGTGCGCTTTTGCCCTTCGAAGAGCGGCGGCCGTCACCACCAGGCAGCAGTTAACGCAAGAGGTAGCGGTTTTCGTGCCTCCCTCGCATCGCAGGCCCAGGCGATGCAGCATGCCTGCAAAGGGAAGGTGGTAGTCCCGACCAGATCTCAGGCGCGCCTTGCACCTGATGGTCCCATCCTTCTTTCTTCTTCGCGGCTTCTTAGCAGGTGAGCTTCAGCAGCTCCAGTGTGCCCCAGCCTGGCCCTGGCCTGGATGCCGAGACGTCCTGGGCCCCTGCACAGGCCCGCTTGAAAGATCAGAGAGGCTGACCACAACATTGGGGAACATTGGGCCCTGCCGCGAGGCGCGTGCGGGGGAGTTTCTCACAGTGGACCTCGGCGAGGAGGCGGTCAGCGGCAGTATGCGGCAGTTTCCGAAAGCAATCCCCAACACAAGCAGCAGCAGGTGCGAGTGGGTGGCACCTATGTTCAAGGAGGTTCTCTGGAACGCAGGCGGGAACAGACAGACTGCGCGGTGGGGGACAGGGGAATGGCATCTTGGAGGTGCTTGGACAGCTGGGTGACAACCTACATGATCCAGTACAGCGTGAATGGCTCCTATTCCAGCCTGTCAGCCCTCTGAGACAAGATATCCGTTGTCCGGGAAGTGGTTGAAGCTTTCCTTGCCTCTGCAACTTGTCGAGGCCGGAGGCACTGCGAGGTAGCCATGACTGCTCGGCCAAGGCATCTGGGTGGGAAAGGGTGTGGCGTGTTGATTGAAGTGAAGAGACCCAAAGACCCTTCCTTTCAGGTTGGCACGCGCTTCGATGTGCCACTGCAAGCACGCTTCCTGCGATTCGTCATGGAGTCTTGGCACGGACACGGCTCAATGCGAGTGGGCCGGGAGCTCTGTGCTGGCACGATGCAATATCGTCAATATCATCGCAAAGTGCCGTACTGGCCTTGTACAGGTGTTCTCGTCTGTGACTGACATGGGTCTACGAGAAGCCGAACTTGACTGTTGTCATCTTCCGGCGGCAGTCTGCCATTCTGACGTCGACTGCTGCCAAGCCGATTTTTCGGCGAGCACTCGAAGCTGCGGTGAAAATGCTTGCCTGGACGGCTTTTGCAATGTGCCCGTTGCCCTTTGCTTCCCCTGTTTGCCGTGCCCTGTGGTCTGCATGCCCCCCCGCATGGCAAGGCAGACGAGTTAAGCCAGATGGCCCGGTGAGGAAAATGTCCCGAAGTCTCCCGTCACGCATGTGGTGCGCGAGCGTCGTCCGACTGCTGACGGTCCTCCGTCGTCTAAACACGCTGTGCTTACGACATCCTGGAGAGAACTGGCGAAGCAAAGTAGCCCTAGCCTTACATCATACGTCAGTTTACATCAGTGAATCAGAGTTCTTGATGGTCGCTTGCCGTCAGCATTGCGGCCAAGCTTTTGCAAAGGAGTTTCAACACTTTACCGAGAATCTGCAAGTAATTCGGAGGTGCCTTCAGTGGAAATGCTTGATTCCTGAAGCCACCGAGCCAATGTGAAAAATGTCTATCAATGCAGGCGAAAATAGCCCGCACAGCACCGGTGATCAGCTTTCTTCCCACTGCGTGCTTCACCACTTTCGCCGTCGGTGGATTTGATCAAGTTGCAGTGGTAGGCATGACAGCAACAAGAACCCAAACATTCAAGCCATTGAGTCGGACTCAGTGCCTGAGCGATGTGTACCAGGACAGCATGTGGCGAAGTAAAGACAAGGGCAGAGGAGGTTAAGGGCACTCACGCCTGAGTATCGCAGAGACCGTCTGCTGAAAGCAGGCCGTGCCAGCCACAGGTCAGCTTAAGCTCTTCTTTGCAAGAGCCGTGTAGTGCAAGTTGAACTGAGGTGGTGTAGCCATGGTGATGGAGAAGAAGGTCCGAGGGGGGGGGGAGTGGTGGTAGTTGCTACTGGAGGAGCAGGCAACGGAGTGGGCCTGGCACGGGCGCCAGCTGCGGTGATGGTCGTTGTGCACGGCTGTGGTGCTGTTGCTCGTGGCGGTGCTAGTGAATGCGACTTGTGGGGCAAGCGTCCACTGTCTCAGCAGGACTGGGAGACGATCGAGCGGGTATTGGCGGCAAAGGAAGCCGAGCTGCTGCAGCAGGTTCCTTTTGCTTTGACGGTGCGGGGATCTGCGTTGCCGCGACTTGCAATTGTTGCCCAGGAGGGTTCCAGCCTCGAAGACAGCCATGTGAGTGGCTACAGGCCGCCTTGTGGATGCTGCATGCGATGACCTTCTATGCTGGTGGTGCCCAGGTACGTGCCAACGACAAAGGTAGTTGACAAGCCATCCTGGGAGACCTTTGCTGTGCCTCACATCCGGCCAACCTGCGGGCATTGGTCTCAGAAGATCTCGCAGAGAATCTCGCATATCTCTCAAAGGCAAGGGTATAGAAACCATGCCAACGGTATTCTCGAAGGTCGGAGAATTGGCACCACAAAGACGTACTCTTCGAGATTGGCGAGGGCATCGCCTATATCACACTGAACAGGCAAGCATTAGGTACCAAAAACATGGCATGACGGCTGTGCCTGCCAAGCCCCGCATCTGCTGGGGCACCTGCATTGCATTGTGGCCAAGCTTATCGCTTCAGGCCTGAGGCGAACAATGCGTTGAACGAGACCACATCGCAAGCTCTTCAAGATGCGACATGCGAGCTCCACATGCGCCACGCGACCCAGAAGTTGCACAAGCAATCGAAATCAGCATTTTTAAGTAGCATGCTCTGTCGATGCAGGCCGGGACATCCGCATTGTGGTGTTGCGAGCCGAGGGCAGCATGTTTTGCGTGGGATGCCAAGGGGTCTGGAAAGGTCTGCCGTGCTCCGAGAACTCGGAACTCGGCTGCTGAGGCTGGCGGTGATCCGAAGCACTTCTTCGATGCTTTGGCTATGTCGGAAAGAGATGACCGGAAGGCTTTTGTGGGGACAAAGAGTTGTGGGGGCTGCTTTTCTTCGCTGGTCCTTGCAGGCAGCCATCGGCTTCATGAAGTTCCTCTTCTGGTTCCAGAGCCTCCCGCAGTTCACCGTCGGCCTTGCGCAGGCCAGGGCCCTCTGCAGTCACGGCATGTTGCTGGGGAAAGCACCGCGACAAGGGCTCTGCCATGGGCAGCGGGATCGGCCTGCTGTGCGCATGCTTGGGGCTTGGGCGCAAGAAGAACTTGGGTTTTGGCGAGTCGGCGCATGTCGGAAAGAAATGTCTTAATGTCGTTAAAAGGTGACATGGTCCTGGCGACAAGCGCGGCCCGCTTCACTTGCTCAGAGGCCCCTTTGCAGCATCGGGTTGCAGCGGTTCTTGCGTGCCGCACGGTGCGTTTCTTTAGGTAAAGTTGGGCTTCTGCCCGGCCGCCCTGGCACCGTTCGTAACCAGGAAGGTCGCTCGCCTCGGCCGAAAGGAACGGGACTTGAGACGTGAGACCTTGGCATCGGATTCTGAGGTGGGGCCGGCATTCGCCAAGCGTTTGCTCTGCATGGCTGGCTGGCCGAATTTGTTCTGAGCTACTTGAGGAGCAGACCTTTTGAGCAGTTGGGCTTGTCGACAGTCGGTGAGCTGCAGCAAAGGCCGAAAATATTTCTGCCGAGCAGGCAAAACGGTACAGACCTCACTTCTGCCTGGGAGCCGCAGAGACAACATCTCCTCCCTTTGCCACGGGTCTCCTCCGCCTCAGGATGGGCCTCATTTCCGATGTTCGATCCTGAACACCTTTTCTGTTACAGGAGTGTAGTTTGATGTGCTCTAGCATCTCGAGGTGGTGGAAGAAGAAAGCGAATTCTCCGACTACATGAAAGACATCTGCGAGAAGGTGACGCAGGGGACCGAGTAAAAGAGCAAGGCGGCTCACCAGATGCAGAGCTGTCACTCCCGCACTCCCATATGGGATCCTGGACCTCAGGCTGTGCGCACCTACGGCCGCTGGCCGCGCCAAGCGCTTGGCGCAGAACGTCAGCCTGCAGCCGCTGACCCGCAAGTTGCCGCGGCCCGAGCGAAACTGAACCTCTCGACTATGAGCTATCTGCGTTCTGCTCAGGTTGGAATACACAGGGGGAGAGCTAGCAGACATCCGCATAGGACTCCTCACGATTGTGCAAGCACGTCCATACGCCCCTCTGCGCCGCAACTGCAGCGCTGGCCTTGCTAGCGGTTTGCCAAAAGAGCTGTCCAGGAGAGGAGGCCATCAAAGGCATGGTTGCCGTTCAGGCCAGGCACTGGCTCCCGAGTTTCTCTGGCATCTCCCCTTGGTTTCATGGGCTGGTGAGGCGCGCGTGAAGCCCTACTGGGCGGAGACCCCGATCAAGCCGTTGTACTGATGGCTACCAGGGACCAGGGACTGCCCTTGGCCTTTGCATGCCGTCAGATCAGAGACAGGCTGAGTGTAGGTGATCTTCCATGACTGCTTGATAGCAGCTGTGTCGGCAATCCGTGCTTCTCGTTTTCACTCAGGACTTCGTCTTCCTAGAATAAGGTTCTTCCCTTTGCATTCTCTGTGGGAGTTATAGGATGTGTTTGCATGTGTGAGTTGTTTCCGTCTGCGCCTTGGCTGCGCAAAACAGCATGAGCGCAGCACATCCCTGCGCATCTCCATGAATGACAGGTGGATGGCAAGATGTCAGTGACACAGCTCAGGATGTTGTCAACCGACAACGGGAAGTAGCACGTCCCTGTGCAGCTTCGAGGCTTACGAGTCAAAGCTCAAACATCGGTCAGACTTTCTTCCATCGGCCAGTACAGCTTTAACGCAAAGCAGCGACGGCAAGCGTTCTGAGAACCATGCCAAGAACCTTCTTAGACAGCACGTGGGCTCAGCCGTTTTCGTTGCCATGGCTTCTGGCCAAATGCCCAGCTCAAGCGATCCTCACTACAAAATGCTTCTGGTGCTGGCTCGCCGCATAAGGCGACGTCGTTGCGAAGCCACCGGAACACGTTCGCTGTAAGAACTTCGGATGTAGCCAGCCGGGTTCCCAGCCGAAGGCTGGATCGAGTAGCAGATCTTCTGGAGCTCCGGTCAGCGAGGTTCTTCGATCCGAGATACCCAGAGCAAACGGTGTTCAGCACTCGGCGAGCGAGATTACGTGATGTTTGTCGGAAGGCAAGCCAACCCGTCGCTGCTTTGCTTGGCCAAGGTGTACTCACCATCGGCTTCCGCCAGTCTTCCACGAGACCGCGAAGTACTGGGCCTGCTGTCCAGACAAGAAGGCGCGCTTCAGAGCAGCAGGTAGAGAGATTTCCGTGAGCCTCCGGCAAAGATGGAGCTTGGGTGCGACACAGAGCGACCTCGGCTCTGCAGGCCTACGATTGGGATGAATTCATGAAGATCCCGGGATGCCAAACAGGCCTAGCAGCGCTGTCGCTGCGACTGTTCATGTAGGTCATTCTAGGTCCATCTGCCTGTCGCATGTCTGGGAGGACACTGCACCAGCGTCGCCAAGGACAAGAAGTTCTTAGGAGGCAAGTGCCCAAGGAGTCTGAGGAGTCGTCTTGACAGCCTGAAAGTTCTGGAGGCGCGGATATCCGGGCCGAGCACGCGCCCAAGCGCTTGGACGATGAAGTGCCCGTGGATCCCAGAAAGAAGCTGGAGCCACGCTGCCTCTGCCTTTTGGAGAGCGCCCGCTCCTCGGGGCGCTGCTTCCTCCTCCTTTTTGGGGCAGGACCGCTTGCGCGAGGGCCTCGTAAGCCTCGGCGTGGGGGCCTTAAGAGAGAGAGAGCATAACACAAAGCGCATAAAACAGGGCGGAGAGAGGGCTTTTGGGGCAGTTCCTTAAGTGCTTCTTCTGAGGTGAGTGCCGACGACTTCGATCGTGCTTGGGGTCGCCTGGGCGCAAAGCTCGGGGACCGGTTGAACTCCGAATTTCTGCTTTTCAACAAGCGCCAGACTCGGACGCGGGAGGACTTGAGCTTGGTCGCACAGAAGATGAACCAGCTCTTTACGGAGACGTTGCAGACGATGGACTGCAGCTGCGGCTTCTGATGTCGCGTGACGGCTTTACATGTGGCTTCACGTGCATGGCATCGTACCATCAGGATACGGATGACATGAACCTGCCAGACTGAGCCGCAGCTCAATTGTGGCTGAAGCCGAGGGCCACTGCCACCAGTGCACAAAAAACCCCGCGCTGAAAGCTTGAAAAACCGGCCGTTGCTTTCTGTGTCGGCAGCATGACGTCATGAATGGGCTGTCAGCCGCACCTGGGACTTGAGTTACCCAGCACCGACCTGCTGGCATGCACGATGGATATCCTTAGACTCTTAGACTCCCTTAGACTCAAACCTCCGTGTGTGTGTGTTTGCACTGCTTCGGGATGAGTGTGTCGTCGCTTCTTGAGCTTTTGCTAGGTGGAAAGACCACAGCACGGCATAGAGCCGCATACCGAGTGTTTAGGCGCGTCCGCAATGGAGACCTCCATAACCCACTCGCACCGTATGTCCGCATGTCTTTCCTTTGTTGGCGGCTTGGACACTGGTGGAATGGAGTTTTTCCGTCGCTGCTCGCGTGGGCCCGGGCTTGATAGAAGCGAATGTCGTTCTCAGGATCCCAGGCGCGCGGATTTTGCATGCTTTTCTGGTGCTGGCAAATGCAAACATGCCAGAGCCCGTGTGCTTTGCATACAAACAAACTCTTACGGCGTTTGCGCCTCCCCTTGCCCCGCGGTCCGCACACCTGCACCTGCCACGGCCTGCGTGTGAGTACGAAGATCATCGAACTGCCTGCATCCCTGGAGTGGAGTAAAGGGACCCGCCCATGAACGTCGACATGCCGGTCCGTGATGCAACATATATATATAATATTAAGTTATTCAGGTCGTTTGCAAGGGCCTGCCCTCTCGACACAGAGCGCAGCTCGCCGTGGATTCGTCGCACGCCCGGTCACACACCTGGTCGACCACAGCTGGGTTCTGACGCCCGGGTTGGATCCTCCGAGGTGGCAAACCGAAAACCACGAGCTCCAGCCGATAATGTCGCCTCATCGTCTTCTTGCCTCCATTTGTTCCACTGAAGGCATCGAATGGCACCCAGAGCTGTTCCTCAACACTTCATCGCTGTTGGTCTGGCCATGTCAGGGCGAGCCAGGGCACAGCTGGATGGGATGCCGTGGCATCTTCCGACTTCCTCCGTACTGTAAATCATTCTTGGCTTTCTGCAACTCGTACACGTCGTGCACCTGCTGCATGATTGCAGCGTTGCAGAAGTGCATACGCAAGCAGCAGGAAGGCCAATTTTCCATCGCCGTTCGGGCCAAAGCTTTGCAACAATTCTCTTCCCAGCCCAAGCTGTGTGGGGGATCCATCCCTGGCACCTCATGCTCGATAATCCCCTCGAAAAAGGGCGGCTGTACAGTGCAGAAGTGTTTGTTTGCAGTTCCGTCCACTTGCTAACTTCTTGCCGAGCCCTACTTGCCCATCGACACCCTGATGTGTTATTTCGTCAGTCCGAGGTCGCTGCGTACGTGGTGTGATGTCGGGATATGTCGGGCCTACGCTTACGAAGACGGGGCAACGCACGCCGCCACCTTCCTGCAGCCCATGCTGTCCTGTCGGGGAGCTCAGTGCTGGCGAGCGCCAGCTTTGCACGAGCTCCTCGCCTAATTCTTCTCGCTGTGCCAAGGAGCCAATCCCTCCTGCACTGCTAGCTGCTAGTTCTCTTACACCCTCACTTCCAATCGTTGATGTCGTTCCCAGGCCCGAGCGGCTCCCTTTCCAAAAACACGCATTTCAAGCTGCACTTCGCATTCACGCCGGACTAAAGTTGAACGGGGGCCAGCCGCGCAATTTCTCGCCTGCTTCTTCGGGACCCCATCCTGTGCAGGGCGTGGAAGAGGTGGGGCATCTCAAAGGGCAAATTGCGCGGCAAGACACTCGGCGGAGCCAGCAGAGTGTGCGGGCAGCTGATGTCCGGCGGTGCGCGTGGCGGCACTTGTCCGCCGCCCCAGTCATCGGAAGCGCCTGGGGAGTGCCGTGAGCCTTTCCCCATCCATGACAGACACGCCGCTCGTCGCAAAATGCCCCTCGTCGCAAACTGCTGCGATTCTCGATGTTGCTCCGCACTCCTGCTCTACTAAATGTGGTCATGCCAACAGACAGCCATCCGTGTCGGAGTCTTTGTTTACGTAGCAAAGAAGGCGTGTTCCTCCGTTTTTTCGCATGTGCTTTGGCCCGGCACTTCTCCGAAATGTGGCAGGCATCACGCATTTCCAATTCTTGCGGGTCACCGCCGGTTGCGACCCCCCCGGTCGGTGCCGTTGGCTGCGCGCACACCTACCTCCGCCAGGCTCGGGCGATGCGGGGGCCGGCCTTTCGGAGGGTCGAGCCGTTTGCTTCTGTGCTGAGCTCGGGGCAACTGTCAACCTGCCTTTTGGTGCGGTGAAGCTGAAAGAACATAAATCTTGAAAGGCTGCTTCCGGAGGGCAAAGCCGTCCTTGCAGCAGCCTGATTGCCGCACGTACGAGAAAAACAGTCTGCCCGGATGCAGAACCGAACGGGGGTTGCAGCAGTCCTCCGGACGACGTGTGCCTCGCTGTAACCCAACCGCGCACTCCGCACTGCGCACTCCGCACCACCGTCTCGGCTCAGAGCCGGCCCCTCTCTCTTTCGTCTTGCGTTCCCGTGGCCTTCCGCTCGTGCGCGACTTCAACAAAAACCCGAACGAATTGATGATGCCAGGCCCCCACGTCGGGCGAGCGCAGCTCCTCACGGTCCAAATTTCCCTACTTTTCCCTGTCGATGCAGGCGGAGCATCTCACAGGCAGTAGCGGCAGTTCCGTGGCGCCGCCTCCTCGCCGCCAGCGACAGGGCCCGGCACTAGACCGTGTGTGTGCTCGACTTCGCCGAATCAGCGGGGCCGGGCCGACTGCCACTGCGCTAGGATGCTCTAGGCGCAGTCTGGTCGTAGGTTTGACCAAAGTAGGGTAACTTGACCTCGCTGGACCCTCGTCATGCAGGCGGAAAAGTCGGTGGACAGAAAGTTCCTTCACCCCAACCACTCCTCAGTGACCTCCTCTCTTTGACTCGCTTCGCCGCAACCCCGCCACAGCCAACAACCCCACGATTGCTATATGGTTTCGGCAGACCGAGTCAAATTCTGCCTCTACCCACCGGCACGAGGCGGGCGCACCACAAGACGGCTAGCAGCGGCGTGCTGTTGCCAAGGCGCGTCGGCACGGACGTCGTGGCTCGGTGCCCTCGCAAAGTTCTGCGGCCGCGGGGAGCTGAGCTGCGACCGCTACCAGCCCGGATCAGCGCGAGGGCAGGAACGGCTTCAAGACACTCAGGCGCCAGTCCCACCGCAGACAGGAGGGACGGCCTGCTCGAGCGGCGAGCTTGCGTGGCCAAGACGCCCGAAGCGGAAAGCGGCGGAGAAAAAAAATCTTCCATGTCCCAGACCTTAGAATAGGTCAACGACGAAAAATCGTACTTCAACGAATCGTGTTTTCGCAGATGATCCATGCACCCGACGCCCGATAATAGAGGCAACACCCATCCTACTGTAGTATCTTTATGTCCCAGAAGAACTCGAGGGATGCTGGCGGGGCGGCCCAGCGTGCCTATGCCTTGTCGCTCTTGGAGTTGCCGTTGGCGCAGGCTTGCGGCACTGAGCCAGATTTTAAGGTAGATCGACCTGGTCGGATCGTTGGTGCAAGCGCAAAGGTCTGTAGGAAAAGGCGCGAGAAAAAGAAGGCAACCGCCTGCTGTAGCCGGTCGCGCTGAGCGCAGCGTAACTCCATGGACCCGCTGCGTAGGACATGTTCGGGCAGGCAGAAACCGGCGCAGAAAAAAAATGAACAAATTGGTCGCGTCCCCCACGTCCACAAAAACTATCGATCAAGAAAAAATTCCCCACATTTTATCAGTGTTGGAATGCAGGAAGGCCGCATGCCAGACCGCGGCAAGGCGCGGATCATTGGCAGCATGCTCCCGCGAGCCACGGTGATCGCAAAGCGTGTATGACACCATCAGCGGCGTGGCAACACCCGGCAAGTTCCGCGACACCCGCCTGAAAAGCTCTAAATATGTCGTCACTTCTCCGGAACACGCAGCACCGGTGCAGGCCCCGGGCACGTTTGCATGCGGCTCGCAAGGTGTTCTCTGTTTGCAAGTGTCCAATTAACCATTGAGTTAATTGTTGTGCATTGGCAAGCAGTGTCTCGCCACAGCCCGCAGCCGATGCGCAACCGGGAGTTTCGCTCGCACGCGCGGCACAGCGCAAGCGGCGGCGCACGTATCCGGAGCTGCTCCGTGCCCGCCGCTGCCGCCTTGTCGTCTTCGGCCTTGAAACAGGGGGGCGTTGGAGTGAGGAAGCCGTGACATTCCTTCCACTTCTCGCACAAGCCCGCACAGCCAGCGCCTCTGCCGCCGTGCGCCGCGCTGCTCAGGCCGCTTGGGTGCACCGCTGGAGTGGCATCCTCTCAGTTGCCGCGCAACGAACTTCGCTCCTTGAGCTTCCTCCCGCCGCTGAGCTTGGTGCTGCTGGTGACCCGCCCCTTTGCACGAGCTGCTGGCTGACGCACGCTGGTTGCAGGCACCCGTCAACAGCCGCCTCCCAGCCCGCACGACGTAGGCTGCCGCGACTTGCACAGGGACCCTGACGTTCGCGGTCGTTAGAAGGTGTGTGAAAAAAAAAAGCAGTGTCTTTTTTGTTCAGCAGTTTAGTTTCGTTTTTGCACACATGCACGAGTCATGCACGCAAGAAAAAGGAATTAAGTCATGTGAGGTACAGGTGTTGTGAGAGATTGTCCAACGCTCGAGAAGAAGGTCTACCAGAGTCTGAAGGGAATCATTTGTTGCTGTTCTGAGGTCATTTTAAGACTAACGTTTTGGGGGGCGTGACTTTCCTGCTCTGTGCTAGGGGCCTCGCTGGCAGCAGTTCTTTACATTGGACATGCAGGTCTCGTGGCACAAATTCTGTTCCTTGAGATGTTCATTCGCAAACATCTCGTGCGTCTGCTGCTGGGTTGAGAGAGCTTTTGCGAGATTATCGCCCCGGCGGCGACGAAGCCAGAGATAAAGAGGTGATCCAGATGGACAACATGGACTGGCATAGCGTGGCCGTGGAAGGAC